CGCCACGCCCCCCGCACGCGGGCGCGCGCACACTCACGCGCACTCAGTTTCTGGACTCGGCGCTTTCTCTCCAGAAAGCGATCTGGGGTGCAGCCCAGCGCACCTCGCGAGCGGGCTCTCCCTCCCCGCGGTACCAGCGCGCGTTCCCAGGCACGTCCTGGGGCCACCCCGGGGCGTCTCTCCGTGGTGGACACCTAGTCTTTGTCACCTTCGTCCCGGGTCTCCCGTGAGACGCTCGCCAGACACAGCTCGCCGCTCCGGGCCGGAGCGAGCCGCACGCTCAGACACAAAGTCCGCCTTTGTCACGCCTTCTGTGCCCCCTCCCCTCCCCGAGCTTGCACACGTGGACGCACCGCACCGAGTGTCCGCCTCCTGCGTGTGCGGCTCTTCCCCAGCACCTGGGCCACCGAGTGTGCGTGGGAACACCACTGTGCGCGCCCCTCAGGCAGACTCGCCAGACACAGCTCGCCGCTCCGGGCCAGAGCGAGCCGCACACTCAGACACAAAGTCCGCCTTTGTCACGCCTCTGTGCCCCCTCCCCTCCCCGAGCTTGCACACGTGGACGCACCGCACCGAGTGTCCGCCTCCTGCGTGTGCGGCTCTTCCCCAGCACCTGGGCCACCGAGTGTGCGTGGGAACACCACTGTGCGCGCCCCTCAGGCAGTGGGCCGAGCTCAGAACCACTCGGGACCGTGAGCAAACTTCGCCCCAAACCCGAACTAACCCGCGCCTGGGTTTCCAGGGACCCGCCCAGACTCGGGCCAACTCTGAGCGCGCGCTCCTCTCCCCGCGCCCCCGTTCCCTGTGCCGACTTGTCCTAATGAGCCTTCTGCTTCGGCTCCCCTGGGTGCCGCGTTTAACCTGGCCCGGGAGGACTCGGCGCTGCGGGAGCGTCGGCCCTCACTCCCCGTCCTGCCCTTCCCATCGCCCGGGGACTTTTCCACGAGTTCGGGTACCCTCGGCGCTCTCCACGCCCCACCTCCACTCCCTGCTCCGGGGTGGATCAGCGGGCGGCCACCCTTTCCCCTCCAGGAACCCGCAGAAAGGGGGCCGCAGAATTGAGGAAGCGAATCCAGGCCGGGGCCTCCCCGGCCCAGTAAACAAGAGGAGAT